CTCCATCAGAGTCGAAGCTGCTGGGCGTAAAGGTGGGATTTGGGTATTTTGGGATGGAGGCAAATTCTCAGTCGAGCTCCTGTCGGCCTGTTATCAGCATATCTCTCTTCGTGTTAGTCAAGGAAGGCATGATTCTTGGGTCCTAACTGCAATTTATGCCTCTCCCTAGCAAAGCCTCCAACGAACTTTGTGGGATAGTCTAATTAACAAAGCAAGAAGATTGATCTACCTTGGGTTCTCACAGGAGATTTTAATGCAATTCGGTCCTTGGAGGAGAGAACTGGTGCGCCCTCTAATGCCGTGGTTCGGAGATGCCATAAGTTCAATGAGAGGATCAATCTTGCAGAGCTTGTAGATCTGGGTTTCGCGGGGCCAAGGTTTACTTGGACTAGAGGCAGCCATAATCATACCTACAAGGCCAGCAGGATAGATAGGAGCTTATGTAATCTCCTTTGGAATACGTCCTTCCCCAATACCACGGTCCTCCACCTTCCTCGTCTGCAGTCTGATCACAACCCTATTCTTACCACCGTGGCTACACATGGGCCTTCCTTAACTGACTCTCATTCTTTTAAATTTGAGGCTGCTTGGCTCACTCATAGTAACTTTGAAGATTTTGTTACAGGTACTTGGGACACTAACGCTCCTCTTCCCCAAGCTCTCGATAGCCTGGCTGGGAAGCTTCGGGACTGGAACTTCAATGTCTTTGGTAATGTGCAGCGGAGGAAAAGAAGACTCCTTGCTCGTCTCCAAGGGATCGAGGCTAGACTCTCCGTTTCTTTTACTCCAGCACTTGCTAAACTCCACTCAAAGCTTGAAGAGGAGCTGGATAAGGTATTGGAGCATGAGGAGCTAATTTGGTTCCAACGATCTAGAGAGAAGTGGGTGAAATTTGGGGAGCAGAACACTGCTTATTTCCACCAGCAAGTCTCCATGAGAAGGCGACGCAACAAAATTAAGGCGCTTCGAGATGCCAATGACCTTTGGGTAGTGGAGCCGAGGGCGCTGGCTACTCTTGTGTTTGATTTTTTTGCTAGCCTTTCCATGCAGGATGATTCGGTGTATGAGGATAGACTCCCCAAGAATGCTTTCCCCAGGATCAGCCAGGCGGAGCTTCTTATGCTTCTTCGCCCTTTCACCATCATGGACATCCACAAGGCGATCTTTGACATGAAGCCTTTTCAAGCTCCCGGTCCATATGGCTACCAGGCTGTCTTTTATCAGCAGATGTGGAGTGTAGTGGGAAAATCTTTGACGGATATGGCTCTCAATTTCTTCTCCTCAGGGTCTCTTCCTTAGACTGTTTCTGAGTCTACGGTGGTTCTAATTCCGAAGGTGGACAACCCTGAGTTGGTCTCTCAGCTTCGTCCGATCTCCCTCAACAATGTCAGCTTGAAGGCCATCACCAAAGCCATGACGAGCCGTTTGAAGCCCATTATGAGGAAGCTTGTTTCACCTAGACAAAGCAGTTTCATTCCGGGGAGACAAACGACTGACAACATTATTGTGGTGCAGGAAGCGCTTAACACTCTTGGCAGGAGGAAAGGGGAAAAAGGAGGGATCATCCTCAAAATTGACCTGGAGAAGGCTTACGATATGTTGCTGTGGGATTTTCTTCGGGATACTTTAGGAGAGATTGGCCTCCCAAGTTCCTGGATAAACTGCATCATGTATTGTGTGGAGCATAATCGAATGAGAATCCTCTGGAATGGCGAGTTGTCCCAGCCTATATCACCAACCCGGGGTGTTCGTCAGGGAGATCCTCTCTCTCTCCCTATCTTTTTGTTTTGTGCATGGAGAGACTATCCCATATGATTGATGAAGCAGTCCATTACAAAAATTGGAAGCCGATCCGCTTATCTAAGGATGGCCCCCCTTTGACTCACCTCTTTTTTGCAGATGATCTCTTACTTTTTGCCGAGGCAGAGACGAGGCAGATTAGGGTGATCAAGAAATGCTTGGAGGATTTTTGCTTCAGCTCCGGTCAAAGGGTTAACTACAACAAGTCTCTTCTGTATGTCTCCCCCAATGTGGCGCGGCAGAAGGCAGAGCGTCTCAGTAGGTGTGCAGGCATCCCCTTGAAGACTGAGCTTGGGAAGTACCTGGGACTCCACACAATCCATGGGAGGGTTACTGCTAGCCGCTACCAGGACTTGCTGCTTCGAATACTGAGGAAGTTCGCGCCTTGGAAAGCGAAGAAGCTTTCCTTTGCCGCTCGGCTCACCGTTGTTCGTTCAGTTTCTGCTGCTCTTCCAACTTATTGCATGCACACTGAGCTTATTCCTAGTGGGGTTTGCAAGAGTATTGATAGAATGAACAGAGATTTCATTTGGGGAGATGAAGAGAACAAGTCCAAGATGCATCTTGTAGCTTGGGATAAGATGATTCTTCCTAAGAGACAAGGAGGTGTCGGGCTTAGATCTTTGAAGCATGCAAACTTGGCGATGCTTGCTAAAAGCGGTTGGCGGCTTCTCACGGAGAAAGAGACTCTCTGGACTCAGCTGATGGTTTCCAAGTACGGTCGCCAGCGGGAGCACCTCGATCTCATCCGAAGTATAAAGGGAAGTTCCTTTACCTGGAATAGCATTTCTAAAGCTGCTAGTCTCCTTAAGAAAGGTTGTGCCTGGAACATTAAGAATGGAGAGAGCACTAAGTTCTGGAATGATACGTGGGTTTTGCAGGTTCCTCTCAAAGAAGTGGCTTGTGGGACCATCCCGGAGCATCAACAAAATGCTATTGTAGCGGAGTTCGTGACCGAGGATGGTAGATGGAAGACCCACCTTTTTGCGGAGCTCCTCCCTGCAGAGGTGCACCAAAGGATCCTGAGTATTAGCGTGGACAACTTGTCGCAGGATGATGATACAATCTTTTGGACAACGTCGTCGGATGGCCGCTTCTCGGCAAAGTCTGTTTACTCTCTCCTTAATGAACGGCCTCCCAACCCTGAGGAGAAGTCTTGGAAGATCATTTGGAGTCTGCCTGTCCCGGAATGGATTAGAAGCTTCATGTGGATGGTAATGCTTGGGAAGATCGCGACTAACTCTCTTCTGTTTTCCAGGAAAGTGGCGCCCATTCCGTCTTGTACTCGATGTAATGAGCCGGTGGAGTCGATTCTTCACATTCTTCGAGACTGCACTCCAGCCTGCTATTTCTGGGCTCGCCATGTGCCTGGCTCTTTGCTCCATACTTTTCAAAGTCTGGATGAGCGTAGCTGGCTGCGGGAGAACCTCAACAGCAGCGAGCAGCTAGGCTCCGGGATTAGCTGGCCCGCTTTTTTCAGCATCGCGACTTGGCTCATATGGAAAAATCGTTGCACTTCCTATTTTAGAGGTGTGAACGCTGCCCTTTCACCTCCTTCTATTGAGCACTCTATTATGGTGAAAAGCAAGCTATGGCATGATGCGTGGCTTGCTCCGTCTCCTCTCCCGAGCTCCAGATGCCGACCAGCCGCCCGCACGGTTGCTTCGATCGGGTGGAACCCACCGCATGTTGGGTGGATGACCCTGAATGTGGATGGAGCCTCCAACGGGAACCCCGGGGCAGCCGGAGCAGGGGGAGCCCTCCGCGACTCGACTGGACGATGGAATGTCGGCTTTACAGCGAGACTAGGCGTGGCGACCGCAGCTCTAGCGGAGCTTTGGGCCATTTTTCATGGTCTAGACCTGGCGTGGAAGATAGGATGTCGAGCTCTCATCCTTGAATCTGATTCCCAGCTTGCCATTCAGCTTCTCAAGAACAGACATGACCCTGTGCACCCGTACGCGACCCTTCTGTCAGCTATTCGGAGGAAGATCAGTCAAGATTGGCTGGTGCGCATTACTCATACATACCGGGAAGGGAATAGAGTCGCGGACTGGCTCTCGAAGCACAGTCTCGTCTATCCCTACGGTATGTACGAGCTTGCAAACCCGCCTACCGGACTTGTTTCGATTCTCCAAGAGGATGCGAGGGGTGTTTCCTTTGATCGCAGGATAGTGGCACATGCTCCTCTTGCTATGTAATCTCCTCTTGTAACCTCTCTTTCTTGGCCTTGGCCTCCATCTATGCCAAAAAAAAAATATTTTAAGGATGTTAGATTGTTAGTAGTCTTTACGACGATATATTTAAAGGAATTAATATAATGATGGGGTGTTAAAAAAATTATACATAATTATTTTCGTGAACTTATTGATATTCATGCACAGTGCACGCATTGATGGATGCCTATTGAATTGGTTCATTTCTAAACCCCATGATCATTTAACTCGGTTAAATGAATCGGTTGGATTTGTGTTTAGAAAAACGCGACCCAATCTGATACATTGTCATTTCTCCACGTGAACCGAACTATGCGAGCTTGCGTCGAAACGGCCGTTTTTAGGTGAACCGGATTTATTCTGGTCCGGTCGATTCTATCACGCAACAGGAGATTACTCTGCACAGCGTGCATCGACTGAAAACCACAAAAACCCTAAACCCAGAAAGGCAGCAGGTGGAGATCGAAGTCAAGCTTCTCCTCGCCGATCACTCAATCCTCGGCTGCCCACCTCCATATTTTCATTAGAGGTAACTCCTTAGTCTTTGGCAGTAACTTGTGGCTGCAATTATGATTGTTGTTCCTTCTGGTTTAGCGTCATTTCTCTAAATCAGTTTGGATAGATTGGGGTTTTCTGATTTCTTGGTCATGTTTGACAAACAATGATGAAGATTCGGATCAGTAATTCCCATTCTTCAAAAACCCATGACGACAAATCGAATATTTGTCTGAGAGAATTCCAATTCCCCTCCAAAGTTCTGACCTTTATCTTAATTTTGGCAAAAACTATTATTTCATTTCTCCATTGTTGCGAGGAATTAAGTGGGCAGTATCGATGAATGTATTCTGCGTTTTTATACCCTCAATTTGACGATCTCTTAATTTTGAACTCGGCTTCATATAGTAAGTCTCAGGTCTCTACTATTGGAGTGCAGTGTTGAATTTGCTGAAAGGACCAAGTTTATTAAGCTTACTACCAGTAGCTATGGGGACTGAAGAGTCTAAGGATCCATTGAAAGGAGTGGATTGGAAAGCGATAGGCACGGAGCTTCAAAACGACCCAAGTGCTGGAACAAAGCAAGCTGTAAAGAAGCGGCTTCCCAAGAAAATTAGGCAAATCCCCGAGAGCTATTTCCTTCCTAGAATGTCTTGGCCCTCGGCGATCGGCTTCTATGGAGCATGCATTGTTGGTGGGGTTGGTGCTGGCATGCTGGTGGAGATGTGGATAAACAAGAAAGTCAAAGGTTTGTTGATCTTCTTCATCACTCAGTCACCTCTCATATAAATGGTCTTCCTGCGTTTGGAAACTGTATGATTGTTTCGTACAAAGTTCTGATGGTGTTTAGTTATCGTCCTTTTTGGCATATGGCAAATGATTTTGGTACATGATCTCGCTTGAATTCCTCTTGTAACGGATTTTTCTTTGTGTTCTCGACATCTTTCAGAGGATGGAGGAGTCATATGGGAGTTTGATAAATAAAAACAGGATGGTGGAATATCAGTTGCAGGGTGGTGCATGAAAAAGGAACTATAACTCTCCACTAACAGCCTAACTGGAAGATGTTTCTTGGACTATTGATTCTTATCAAGACGTCTTAATGCACACACCTCTCGAAGACGAATTTTCTAGTCTTGGCATGGATGACTCGCCCTCGGTATTTGGCTATTTGCATACGAGGTTTTGTTTCAAACTCATCTTCTTATAGCTGTGAAGCATAATAGCAGATATATGTGTTTGAGTTGCATTGAGAATTAGTTTTGTTACTTGGACGACGAGGTTATATGTGTTGAGAATCTTGTTTACCAAATCCGGATGGGGGTGAAATATGTTCTTTTAGAGAAACTGAGTTGCAGTCTGGTGTTTAAGAGGGGAATATAAGTCTCCGAACAAAGTTTGAAGCAAACTACATGATAAATTTTGAAGTTTTTAGAGTGGTGTCTATGTTTGTGATCGTCTTCTGCACCACTACGGGCAGGGGCTCAATTTCAATCCATCACACTCCGTAAATTGGTAAGATGGAATTCAAGCATCGATCGCTGCAAGTGACCTGGTGTAAACTGTGATCTGGTGGGTGCCATTGGTCGTGCTATCGGCCGTGATTGCTGAGTTGGGCAGCCAATCGAAGCTGATCAGGCTAGACCTTTCCAGCAACAATATCAATGGGGTGGTACCTCAAAGGACCAGTCATCAGTTCCAGCTAATTAGCAATTACATTTCCTCTGTCTTCTTCTTCTCACTATCCAACAATCAACTCAGAGGACCTATCCCGGCGAGTATCTGCAGTGCTTATCGATTACACAAAATCTTCGGTTTGTCAAACAACAATTTGAATGACACAATTCCAGGTTGTTTGATGGAGAGCAGCGAGACACTTGCTGTCTTGGATCTAAGGGGCTTATTGAAGTTACAATAAAAAAGGTAACCAAGTTTCCCACCTGAGAATTGAGATTGATCAGAACAAAAGAAACGATGGAGCTACTCTGCGAAGTCCAAACAATTGCACCACCTAATACAATCACAAATATAATAATACCAAATCCATCATGAAATCCAACAAGCAAACAATGGTTTGTACCAAAAACCAAATGGGGCAATTCCATCATTTATCCATGATTTTGTAACACCCAGGTTTTAACCAAAACCTTCATTTTTCAAATCCATGAAGCAAACGATCCCTAGATGTCATGCTCGCACAAAAAAGTTCAACATAGAGCATCATAAAACATATCTCGGGGTGACGAATTTCACAGTCGTCCCAAATATTCAAATTATGAACATCTATAACTTTGATATCTCAAAGTAATGTGTGAATATTGCAATTGTGTTATCAGATTATTTTAATATTTTTATCTCACAAATATAGAATTCACAGAACACAAATATCATATATTATAAACAAAAACAATGTTTTATGAAAGAGAATTTAAAATATTAATGAAATCGTAAGATATCAAGTTGCATTTCAATTTGTCTCACCTCAATTTTAACACGGTCAAAATCCATGTCACATTATTTCCGAACACTGAGGATCTTCATACAGGGGTGGAGCCAGGATTTCGAGACCGGGGGGCCGAAAATAATTAAAAAAATTATGTAACCAATGTGGAGCAAACCCGCGTGCTTTATTAAATAAGTTAAGCTTGGCTACCATTAGACCACATAACTATTACATGATAAAATTTACAGAAGAAGTTATACTTATAAAATTTGTACTAAATATCCGCACAGACCTAGGGACCGGGACCAATCCCGGGGGGCCGGGGCCCACCCTAGCTACAATGTAGCTTCGCCCCTGGTTTCATAATATTCACATAACACACACTATATTCTTATTATACAAATACAATATTCTCACAACACAAATACCATATGCTCATAACCATATACAACATTCTCATAAAACGACTTTTAACAAGACACAAATATCATTTTCTTATACCACAAATACAATATTTGTATGAAAGATTAATTGAAAAATGCATTCTATTTGTCTCACACCTATTCTAACCGTGATAGTAGGATTTGATGGTAGGATTTGATGGTAGGATTTGAGTTCGCACCATGTTGATTCGTCCAGTAAGGTGTTGAGCTAAGCTATATGATTTTATTTTGTTTTCAGTTTTTATTTTGGTCACCTTTTATTGGATACATTTTGGTTTAAGGATGAGGTAGCTAAACCCCTTAACCATGATAGTTTTTCCCCGCGTATGTTTGTATTGCTCAACGAGATCGTAAAACGACTCAATCTAATATAACGAAGATAGAGTTCGATAACTCTATATGGTAAATTGGTAATGTTATCATATACTTGCCTCAACCATCCGATAAAACTAACTATCAACAATAAGAACATTATGGTTTATACACAACTTTGCATGTTATGACCTTCGTACTAGTAGAGTGTTAAGTATGTAGTGTGCCTAATTAATTGTTTAGGGACTATTTAGCACTTATTCCCTTGTTGAGTGGTGATAAGGGATATAGTGCACCCTTATATATATGTTGCTGCCGTGTGCATGCTCCTATAGAGAGCTTGTGAGTTTTGCAAAACTCTAATAATAAAAATCTAGCCGAAGACCCCTTGTGTGGGTCTTCCGTGGATTAGTCTTGCTCATGACGAGCAAGGATACCACGTAAATCGTTGCGTTTTGTGTGTTTCGTTCTTATATTTCTCATAGGATCAGAGTTGTGAGCTGAGATTCACGACGTTTTTTTTTTCACCTGTCATTATGAGTCTTGACGACGAGACAATGGTGGATTCCAAGCTGAAGTCCGCGGCGTCCGATCCTCCGCCGGCAGGGGACGTGTCTGGTAACGGCCCGCCTTTTCCTCCGGTCTTCGTTCTCCACAATGGCGACAACCCTAATCAACTGTTTGTGGGTGAGCTTCTCACCGATTCCAACTACAATGAACGGGTTGGCGACATCACTGATTCTTTCATTGCCAAGAACAAAGTAGGTTTTGTGGATGGTTCTATTCCGCAACCGTCTGATGGGCATCTCCGTGATCAATGGCGGATCTGTGACGCCATGGTGAAGGGTTGGTTGAAAATGGCAATGAGTAAGGAGATTCGCTCGAGTGTCCGCTTTGCCAGCACCGCCCGTGATATATGGATTGATCTTGAAGCTCATTTTGGACAGCCGAGCGCACCGCGCTTGTATGAGCTGCATCGGATGATCAATGCCCTTCAACAGGAGAAGTCTAGTGTCTCTAGCTTCTATACTAAGCTTCGGGGGTATTGGGATGAGATTCAATCCATTTCCCCTGCTCCTGATTGTAGCTGCAACGGATGCACTTGTGACGTGAAGCGTAAGTATCGCAACACCAAAAACAGTGAGCAGCTCTTTGACTTTCTCATGGGTCTCGACGAGGCCTTCTCTATAGTTAAGACGCAAATTCTGGCTATGCGTCCTATGCCGAGTCTTGCCGAAGCTTATCAGCTGGTCAATAATGATGAACAACAGCGATAGATAGCTCAAGCTCGGCGCCCCACTGTTGAAGCAGCAACGTTCTTTTCTCAGGATGATCGCTCCAATGCTCGCAGCTCCTCAAGCCGTCCTAGTGATCCATCTAAGCCTCGGTATTTCTGTGAACATTGCAAGAAGACCGGCCACACAAAGGACCGGTGCTATGAACTCATTGGCTATCCGGATCGTCCTCCATCGAAAGGCGATTGCGGCAATCGTCCGAAAGGGGGCGATCGGGACAAGGGCGCTCCTCACGCTGCTCAAGTCGGTGCTCAAGCGAGCCTAATTCCCGGGCTGACTCCCTCTCAATTTGAGCAGCTTAAAAAACCTGTTTGGCGGGGAGCTGAACCAAATGTCGAGCCCAGCAAATAAGGCGACAGGTAATTCACCTTCCTTTTTCGCGCTGAATGATGATTGGTTAATCGATAGCGGCTGTAACAAACACATTGTGAACAATCCGAAACTAGTTCACGGGTCACAGGACTACCCAGGTCTGCAGGTAAGAGTTCCTGATGGTTCGACTATTGGAGTAACTTGCATTGGTGAAGTTCAGTTGTCTAATGGGCTGGTTTTACCTCGTGTGCTATTGATTCTGGAACTTAAATGCAACCTGTTATTTGTTAGTCAGCTTACTCGGGATTTTTCACTGGCTTTGATATTTTTTCCGGGACTTCTGTGCGATACAGGACTTGTCCTCGAAGATGATTATTGGGACGGGGAGCCAAGTTGATGGTCTCTACCATTTACGTCTTTTTGATGGGGTCCGACGCGAGATGGCCTATGTTGTTCGTAGAAATGTCTCACCTGATATTTGGCACTCTCGGGTAGGACACCCGTCGCCGGAGAAATTGAATTTGTTACATTTAGTACCCAACACTAGTAGACATAATAACACTCTTTGCTCCTTCTTTTTGCGAGCAAAGCAGTCTCGTTTGCCTTTTCCTTCCAGCTCAATTCGTAGTACTCGGCCTTTTGAGATTGTTCACATTGACATTTGGGGTGGTTACAAAGTTCCTTCTTTGAGTGGAGCTCAGTACTTTCTTACAGTTGTTGATGATTTCACCCGTGGTGTTTGGATTTATCTACTTAAGTTCAAATCTGAGGCTGCTAGATACTTGAAACTTTTTGTTCGACAGGCGTCCCGGCAGTTTGGTGCGTCGGTCAAAGTGATTCAGACCGACAATGGGATGGAGTTTCAATCCCATGACTTGGTCAACTTTTATGTTGATGAGGGCATTCACTTACAAACTTCTTGTGTCGATACTCCGCTGCAAAACGGGATTGTCGAGCGTAAGCATCGACACATATTGGATACAG